ACGTGAGCATCTCCGTTTGTCCTTTGACACCTCAACAAGGTTCCCGCTGCAGAGCACAGAAGAATGTACTGTTTGCTTTTTGTGACTTTTATCCAAATGGATTCAAAACATCACGTTCGAAGATCAAATATTCCCACTACACACATGGTATGAATGAATGGACGTGATATCACACTTGGCCTAATTACTTATCACACAACTCCCACTGATGCCAAGTGCATTGTGCTTGTGAGGCTTTCATTAAAGCAGTAGTGTGTCTGTAAATACATGTACGTGACCTCAAAAAGAAACCTATGCAAATGAGTCAAAGGGGAATTGGATTATTTCTTGGTAAATGCCACACGCGTCAGCATTCATGCTCGATAGCACACGGACGATGACACAATGAAACCAAGAACAGGCAACCGATGGAAACATCTCAACTCATTTATTCACCTCACGTTATAACAAATCATCATTCAGGTTAAATTGCATTTATTGTTTGTAAATATTATAAAGCTAACAGTTGCAACGTGAGAAACAGCCATTTTCCACCAATAAAAGTTACGCGTGGAACCGTAGGAGTCTGCAGTGGGAAATCTTAGGCGCCTCTTCCAACTGAATTAGAATTATTTCATCTCCGTGTCTGAGGCTTTCATCCATTTTCCTCTCAAGTCAATCAATACGCTGTATCTCAGAGCTTTCCTCCCCGTCTTGATTTAATCTTAAATTGCAAAGCGATGCGTCGTCTCTGTGACTAGAATCAATTCTGGGAATTTCAAACCGATGTCGCACGGCAGTTGCCATTGACGACCGATGAGATAACGACTATCGGGGGAGCTTTCTGCGTGGTAACATCAACTACTTTTTAATATCTGATGCACCTAACCAGAGCCAGATTTAAAGGTGAACATTAATTGTCTGTTACAACTTGGAGCGAGAGGTTTAAGAGACAACGAGGGTCTATCAAAGAATTATAAGTTGGGGGATGCTGCTTTCTTGCAAATACTAAGTGGAAATCATCTTCACAGCATTTGTTCGCAAGAAAAGCAACAGGGGAGAATTTAGATAAAATATTAATAAATAAATTGATGAATCAGTCAGTGAAGTTTCATTCAGATTCACCTTTTTGAACTCAATCAAATGCAATTCTGTGTTTAAAAAATGTAAATGACTATAGACCAAATTAGGTTACCAAATAAAATAAGATACAAATGTAACTCTGAAAAGATTGATTTGAAGCCACTTTAAAAAAAAAAGCAACATCATAAAACACTCTCAAACATCCAGTAACACCCTCAGTGAAAAAACACAATCTAACCGTTATTATTATCAGTATCAAGTACGAATGTATGTTTGTAATACTGTATGCAAATCCAGTAGTCAGATAGAGACGGGAGCCCCCCGTCCTGACGTCACTCAAGTGTGAAGGTGGTCATCACTGATGTGTGTGTGTGTGTGTGTTCAGATGTATCCATCGATGGTATTGGAAAGGCCCACTGATCTGAATGCAGTGTGCAGATTGATGCCACTGATATCAGTGTGATATGAAGTGGAGAAGCAAACGATGCCTCTCACCATATTGGGAGGGGGGGGGGTTCTGCACCGAGCCGCAGTCGGAAATGAGATACAGTTGTTAGCATTCCCGCTAACGACTTCCCTCTCATGAGCTTCTGTGGTCTGTGGTCACATGCTGCAACAGGCGTCCTCCTCTTCTTCAGTCCAGTATTCATGTGGATTCATAATAGAACCACAGAGACGGGATTGTGTTGGCACTCCCCCGTTTGAAAAAACATGTGAATGTGCTACTGATTTGAACTTTACCCGAGATCACGGTAGAATTACGCGGCTCAGCTCCATGTGTTCTGAAAGAGGGGCAAATACGTAGATTCACAAATACGTTTAGGGCGCCGCCGAAGTTTATATCTCTAATGATTATGGATATACATTCGGTAAATTTGTTGGATTTCTTCGTCAAAAACCATTTTCTTCTTCTGGATTCATCCGTCATACGGTTTCACAGACTCGATGAGCTTGAAATGAACATGAACAGCGAGCTCACATTACAGTTTTAATCTGTTGTTCTTGTTTACGAGGTGTATACGCTCATCACACAATGCGTGTTCTACAATACAGAACACAAAGTTACACCTAATGTATTTTAGTATTTTAGAGGATTGTTGACAATCACTCGCTGTCTTTCATTTCCTCACTAATTATCTGCCTAAATTGCTGAAATTGGGAACTAATCTAGTCTGAACTCTATTACACACATCAATTTGTATCTTTGGTCTTCTTTACTTGAAAACAAAAAGGATTTAACTTGTTTATATGTGTTTTGTTGAGGATGAACTACAGTTTAACATAAATCAATAACCTTTTTTAAGCCAAGATCGCATTTTCCTCTCGAATATTAATGTTTAATCTCCAATTACAAACAGGTGATTCATGATCGCTGTCGCACTCTGTCAATCAAACAAATATCTATTTACCGTGCATGAAATTATTATCGTGAAACTTTTGCTCTAAAGCTGAAATGCTCTTTAAAACGTTCAGAGAATCACCTCATCGTTTGGTTTTATTAGCTAAAGTGATCATGTATGATTGTCATCGGCCAATCAAAAGCCACTCACCATCACATTCGTGGACATTCCATCTGCTGAGGCCTTTAAAACGTAGCAGAAGGCTCAATTATTTAAAGTGGCCTCAGCGTCAGAGGACCCACGGTTATCAAAAGGAGACGATCTGTGGAGATGAGGCTCTGGAGGAGGATGATGTTTTACCTCTTGATATTTCAAACTTCACTTACTTCTGAGGAGCTTTTTGGGTTGCTGGAGGACACGTCTGGGTGACGCTGCATCGCCTCGAACTGCAGCTCCAGTAGGAAGCGCGTCGTTTATTCGTAAAGGTGAGCTTGTTTTCCCTCGTCGACTCAGACTCATCCGAGCTGTTTGAGAAGTGGGAACTGCAGCGGCCTCCCTCCGCTGGGGAGAGCGAGTCGGAGGCGTCTTCAAAATGTGTCTCAGTCTGAAGATGCTGCAGTGAACTCTTGACGAGCGGTGAATAAATCTGTAGACGATGAAGCCGAAAGCCGCATCGGTCACGGAAGGAACCGTTTCGATGAGGTCAGACTGAAGTGATGTATTCTGCACTTTTTGATTTCCACACGTTGAACCCTGTCGAATTGGTCATTGGTGAAGTACACTCCTATAATTTTGTGACAATTGTAGTTTTATCGCTGCATTTAAACAATTTCAACCCTCAAACGTTTCCACCGTTTAATATTTCCCTTCAGGCCCGGTCTGAAAACTCCTTTAAAGCTTCACTTTTAAATGAAACTTCTTCTCTGAATGGCGATTGACGTGATGCTCAAAATGATTCCAACACGACATGAGGTACTTTTAAACCCTAAAGAATGCTAACTGGCCATTTAAGCTGTCTATTAAAGGCGTTTTAATCGAGTTCTGAAATCGTTCCTTCTCTCCTTCTGCCTGAAGATTACGGTTTGCAACCTATTAATTCTGCAAGAGCACCAGAGATTTCATAAGTGGGGCAATTTACCTACACTGATTCCATTTTCACTATCAATCAACCCCATAGTGTTCTTTGACTTTAAAGTGTCTTAAATGCCTCGGATAAGAACACACTCGTATTCATGCAGAAAAATAAGTTATGTGGCAAACACAAGTTTCTGTATTTCTATTTTTCTTAGTGAGAACAAATTATCACTGGTTCCCTCCACACAAGTTAGGTTTTCTATATATTATTATTTTTAACATATGACAACTGTCTCCCTCCAAACACACTCATGTTATTTTCTTCCTCTGGATTATTGCTAAGTATTTTTTTTTCTTGCAATTTTCATTAGTGACATTTGATCCCACTGATTCTTTTCAAACTTTGGTTTATTACAGAAAATAAGATATGTGGCAAACTTGATAAAACTGTATTTTACGTTTCCACTCACAGGGCGGCATCATGTTTCTGTACAGTGACTCATCCGATGACAGCAGTGAAAATTGTGGCACCAACGCGTTTAGTTTAGTGTCGAACGCGCAGATTAGAATTGCATCCAAATCGAACCAGTTTGCTGGTTAAAACTTTTCGCCGCTATGTTTTTAGACAGAGAAGCAGAAACCAACACATCTCCCAGAACATTACCTGCCCCCAGGTGTTCGTGGGTAATTTGATAAATCACGTTTCAATTCAGATAAAAAGCAACGGGGGTGCAGTGATATTGGTAAACCTTATTGAAAAACATCCATCCAATGGCAACAACTGGACTCAAGTCATTGATTGATATTGCTTGTTTGAAGAATTGCCAGTATAATTAATTCTGAGTTGCATGAGGTTATATAAATACATACAGCAGCATCAGTCTTTCATTATTCGTGAATGCGTTGGACGTATATTGTTTTGACGTAATTGACAGGTGGGTGACGAATGTGAAAATAACACATTAAGTCGTGTCCATCAACGCACCAAACCAGGGAATATTTCTTGAGAGAATGATGGAGAATCCTCCCAAGACGCCATTAGTTTTTCCTCCACACTACTTACCGTACCGTGAATGCATTTGAGCATTCCTTTCCGAAATTGAGTGACAGCAACTTTGTCGCAGCCCGGATCCCCCCCCCCCCCAGCATTATAATTGTCACACTCCAATGGAGGCTTGCCCTCCTAACATTCCTTTATTACGCTGTAAATGAAACGAAACAAACGATCCTCCTCAGGTGGAGATAATGATTGTAATTGTCACAAACAATTTGTCACTTGCAATAGTCGGTGTCGGTCCTTCTATTTGAATTTGAGTGCTGGTATTATGAGCCACTTTACAAAGAATGGCAGGGATCAGTATTTATAGGGACATTGCAGCGCTTTCTTTTGTTTTTATCAAACGCACCTGCAGCACATTTCCATCGCGGTGGATGATCGACGGGCTCCTTCAGCCCCGTGGCTGTCACATGCAATGCGCATGCGCAATTGCTGAGCGCGCACCCTCGCACGCGCACGAATCCGTCCGTGTGAGAGCAGGTCGGTTTTCACCAAGCGGTAAATGTAACGTGCGGTAAGTGCGCTGCAAGCGTCACTTTTATCAGCGGAGAATCAAAGTTTGTCGTCGGATGTTTGTTTGTCCTCGTGACCAATCAGCAGCGGCACGAGACGCGAGACGTCGACCAGGAAGTCTCGTTGAGTCCTCTGGACTTTGGACACGTTGGACACGTTCTCCGGAGAACGCGCGCAACAGATCGAGCAAGACTCGAACTCGCGGGTGATTCGAGCGCACAAGGTGAGTCCAACACGAGGGGCTCGTCCTCTTCAATGTCACTCCAACTTGGACAGAAGGACACCTGCGAGACTTCATCCGCTCCCCCCCTCCTTCTTTTTTAGTTGTTCAAGTTTCCGTCATGAACCAAACGGCAGGAGCCACCAACGCGTACCGCAGATGCTCCAAAGGTGGAAAGGTAGGAGAACCTTCTCCACGGAACTCGGTGGAATAACGTGCGCGGCTCGCGTGCTTTGACGCCGCGGGAGAACCGCGCGGATGTTCGCGGTTTGTCTGCGGGTTTTGCGCGTCTGCTTCTTTGGAGACGTGAGGGAATCTGTCCTGGTGGGGGGGCAATTATCGGGCGAAAGGTGTCGCTGTGCGGTTAACAGCCACGGTTGGAGCGCTCGGGTAACATCATCCAGTTCTTTGGCACCTTGATGTCTTTTCCTGCTCAAACATCATCTGCTTTACGCAGAGATCCAATATGAGGGCACTGAGTCATTAGGCTGCTAGGTGGTTGTGTATAGTCAACGGGGGAGACAGTAAGGATGCACGATGGAGTCGTTCCAGTGAAACCTGTGTGTGTGTGTGTGTGTGTGTGTGTCACATCTGTCTCTGTCAACGTGCACCATCAGTGAGATGATGAAGTGTGAGAACTTCATCTCCAGCAGCTGTGACACACGGTACGTCCGCAGCAGATTTCCCCATGTTTACTAACATGGATTTTTGTGCAAACTAATATTTGGATGTGATGTGTATTGATCGGAGGGGGCTAGATGTGCTAAATGAGTCTTGGTGCGTGTGGGTGTGACTTTACACACACACACACACACACACACACACACCGCTGCATCTGATGGTTCACTCTCAGCTTAATTGACACTGACTGTTTGTTTCTCTCTGCGCGATGATGCAGGTGGTGGCGGGTCACACAATGAAAGCTCCGTGCACACGGTGCTTTCATCACAAAGGGCTTTTGGGCTAATAAGTGGAAACGTTACAGCTCCGCTGACCTTTTAAAAGGCGTAAAAAAAAAATGGAAATTAGGATTTGGTCAGAGAAGCAACACATTGGTTCAGCTGTGTCAAGTGAGGGACCAGTTTGCAGGGGAACGAACACTCCGTCCCGAGCGGAGGGTGAAAACGAAATCAACTGGCTTGAGTTCAAAAATCCCCAAAAAGATTTAATTATCAGAACAGAAACAAACACAGTTCCAAAGTGAACCTACGAAGAGGAATCTTACTACAGAATACACTTGAATCCGACCTGAAAGTGTTGATCTCTGTTGATTCTGCACGTCTCTCCTCTGGTGCACTGAATCCTTTTTCATCCTTTTAAAGCCGCATGTGATTGGCTGCACATTCCAACGTAGCTCCTCCCACGTTTCTCTCTGCCTGCAGGCATTTTATGGCCTTTCCACCTGAGATCCCTCACTCACCTGACCATTCATCCATACCAATAGTAACCCTATACTTAATACCGCAACGCTTCGGTCCAAAGCGTCTTCATGTGAACGTAGAACGTCATCATCTAAAAGCTAAACACTCTTATCATAACACACCTTACATCATCGTGTTATAGCTTTCCTACCTGAACCTGACAGGAGAAAAAAAAGCTTTATTTGGGAGGAAATATAGAAGAAATCTATTGAACGAAATGACGGACATCCTTTCATTACGATTATGGGTGTGTTTAATTCCTAATCCAGATATTATTCTAACATAATATGTAACCACACACGAAATATAATTCTGCCACTAAACATGGTCATGATGGTGATGGTGTTTCTGCTTGAATTCCACGTGCGAGTGTCAGTGCAGCCTCAGCTAACGTCGAGCTGGTTGAATTAGTTTAAAGGATCGTGCAGCCAAGTATTAGTTGCAAACTGGAACCAAACTGTGAGCTTGACGGTTGAAAAACGTCGCCGTCCATCACGTAGCGATGCTCACGGACGACGTCCCGCCCTCCGTGACGGACATAACTCAGTCACATCAAGCACAAATGAAGCAAAGCAGCAGAGTTTTTCATCTAATTCCACGGTGTCCCCCCTCCCCCCTCCTCTGCGGAGTGTCTATTTCCAGTGGTGTTGACAGTCGGCCGCAGAGACGTGGATTAATGACACTCTGATTGGGTCTGCGTGCGTCCTGCAGGATGAGCCCCACGCGGTCACGGCCATCAGATTGTGACAAGCTTTGACAGGTTTGTAAACACCTGAAATGAGAGGGGGGAGGGAGGGAAGGGGAGGAGGGGGCAGGTGTGCTGTGTCCGGGGATTATTTAGGGATCCTTGAGAATTCCACGTATACGGCTGTTTTTTCTGCGGTTCGCAGAGTCTCGTTTTGAACGCGTGACCCCGAGACACTGAAAGAAGAAGCCGCTCGCCACAAATCAGTCCTCCCTGCGTCCACGTCCCGTGTCTTCTGCCGCGTCCCTGTCCGTCCCGCAGCGAGCGATGCTCGTTGGTGCAGAGAGCAGCTCTGTGTTTCAATGCAAAAAGATGATCCGGTGAAGTGTGACGCCGCCCGTGTTTTTGTTGTCCCGCCCCCCCCATCACAGATCAGCAGCTTTTCTTTCAAGCCTCGGGGGGAGAATCCAAGAGACTGATCGCAGCCGCTAAAGACCGCCATGCAGTGCAGCAGCGTCCCTGAGGCGCGCGCAGCAATGCAGCTCGTCCTTCAAACGATGCACCTTTTCAAAGCGTTTCCGGTTTTGTGATATTGTCACATTATCGGTCGAGCTGCAAAGACTAAAGGCTCAAAGCAAAATAAATATATTAATGACATTTCGACAGAAAATGAATCTGTCACTGCTGTGACAACCACTCATCATTTTTAAAACCGACATTTCAAAAAGTATATTGTCTCTTATCAGCTTCTGTTTCTCCATGTTCTTACACGGTAAACTGAAACCCTTTTTTTTCTTCTTATTTTTGTACATTTGAAGATGTCACCTCCCCGTCTGACATTTTCTAGACAAAACGATTAAAACATTAATTCTTCTCTGCAAATGAATCATTAGATAAGAATTAGTTGACGTTAAGTTGAAATAATTTTCTCTTTTGTATGTTTTGTGTTTAAGTTCCCTCGATGAGTGAAATTAGGAGATGTAACAGAACTGTTTATGAAGGTCACGTGAAGTATTCCAGGTCATATTTAGTCCATATGTGTTATATGAAGAAAGCCGATGGACGCACTTGTGTTTGGCCACCAGAGGGCAGTGTGGTCCTTCACCACACGCACCTGCAGGAAGGGTCGCTTTGTCTTTGAACACCTTCTCTGGCCGCCGTCTTCGTCCTTTGTGCCTTCTCTTCTTTGCGTTGAGATTGATCCTCCATTCATGGAAGAATTTCCTGGTTAATATTTCAAAGTTGTATTTTGGATTTTTTTCAGACATCCAGGATTTCGGCAGCTTTCAGGCGTCCCTTATTTGCTCTTGGATCAGGTCGGAGCGAGACTCCCTGCGTCTTGTCTCGGTCACAGCCGGCCTGTGTGATCATCGTGGGCCCCTGACAGCCGCGCTGTGCTGCCTGCACTCGCTAAACCCCAATTAGCTCCCCCGCAGTCTCAGATCCATTTGCAACTTTTGCTAATCTCTGCAGCTGCGGAGCCCAGAAACCCCCCCCAATTCTTCCAATTATAGTTTAATTATGAAAACGCAAAAGTTTAATTTGTTACGAAAAGACAACAACAACTTAATTGATGATCCTTTGCAATGAATGTGTATTAACTGCTGCTGCCCAAATATAAATTGATGATAAATTGTCAGTGGAAGTTATAGAACTTGTGTCCCTTCAAATAATGAGAAATACCCCGAGGTTCAATTGTTTATCCCATCACTATGTGGATTAATTTGTTTTGTTTTTTAAACTCGTTTGTTTCTGCGGCTTACATCAGAATACAAATTACCACGATGGCAGCCAGTTATTCAGAGAGCAGAAGTGCTAAACGGTTACTTGGAGGAGCCGAGCTGAGTGGTATTTGGATGGAGAGTGGACTTCTTAATTACCGCGGCTTTGTTGGCCAACAGCGGGGCAAACACCGGCGCCAATGTGCCAAGTATTGATCCCTGCTCTCATTACACTGCGGGGCCCATTACAATGCACGCGTGCCCCTCCGACTCCCTCACACGAGTCTATGGAAATCATCATTGATTTTTACGCTCTCCTGTTTTTTTTTTTTTCCTGGTCTTTCTGAAATGGCGGAAGGACGCCCGTCTCAATCGTCCTTCGAGTGCGTGTGCTCGAGGAGCCTCTCCTGCTCATTAGCACCGGTAATCTTTATCTAATCCGTGGGACTCTGAAAGAAGGGCCCCGGTCCAACTAAAGCCACTCTTGCTGCACAGTGAGGCCCTTGGCCTCTGATCGCTCTGTCCTGCTGCTCTCCAGCACATAAAAGCTGCTGTCGGGTTGCAACGCCAGGGAGGGGGGACAAAAAATAAATATACCTCGTGCATCGCTCTGTATTTGTGTGTGTGTGTGTGTGCACTGTTTAGAGTGGCATTGGAAGCCACATCTGAGACCCCACCCCCCCCCCCCCTTTTGAAGTGAATAATGCAGCACACTGACTCGCTCACTCACTTTCGACGCCGGGGGGCGAAGCGTTTTTTTTTTCCTAAATGTGTTGCAAATTTCTGCAATTTCTGCGCTGCGCCCCTGGCCCCCCTCCCTCTATGGCCCCCTCCCTGTCCTACGACGGCCCGGGGATGCCCGAGCCGGACGGCTCTGTTTTTCCTGCGGTGATTGACACCTCGGGGAGCGTAATTGCGTCAGTCACCGAGACCTCCCCCGGACCTTTTGGGTGTAGCGGTCGGCTTGGCAAAACACCCGGGGTCCTGGCGGCCCATCTGCCGCCGCTGGTCGGAGAGACGGGCTCAACTGTCTGAAATCACAAGCGTATCCACTGAGCCCCCCCCCCCGGAGGTCTCATCAAACCCGACTGAACACCCCGCCGCCAAAGTATCTGCTGCTGTCACAGCCTGTCACTGCGCATTTTACCACCCGTGCCACTTGTGTGGACATGTGATGTGTTTGAGAGGAGGTTTTATCTCCAACGTGCATCTGAAGTGGTGAAACCATCAAAGCGAACGGTGTCTTGTTTGCTGTTTTTTTGGGTTAAACCTTCTAGGCCTCATAGGGGAGACGTCTTAGCCGAGTAGGACTTATTGAGTAAGAAAACCGCACCTCCAGATAAAACACTCC